TCTTTTATACTTCACATTTTGGCTTTAAGAGTTAAACCCCAAATTATCAATAAATGAAAAAAGAAATCAAACCTAAAATTGTTTTTTAAAAAAGTAAAATCTTAAAAAGAAAACCAAACCAAAAAATACCTAATGACTCAAGTTCTTTAGCACTATACAAATATCTCAGTCAGCCACAGTATACACTATTGGAATCACAACACATTACCCATACACTGTTATTAGATATAAGTAATGTCTCTAACAATACCATACAAAGACTATCTTTAAAGAATGAAAATGCCTATTTTCCTCTTTAAAAGAACATCGTCTGCAGGAGAGGAAAGATGCTCAGGAGCCTTGAGAACTGGTAATCCCACAAAGTCAGTGACCTCTTTATTTGTGTCCTGATCTCCTGGTCATCCACCTCCTATCAAGAGGAAGCTGAGAAGCCTGGAGAGAGTACAGAATTTGGAGGGCAAAAGTAGATTGTGAGGGAGGGAAGGTATAACAATCCCTTCAGCCCTAGCCAGGTAGCTCGGTTGGAGAGTCGTCCCATACACCAAAAGGTTGAGGGTTCAATTCCCAGTCAGGGTGCATACTGAAAGCAACCATCCCCAATCAAACTCTTATCACCGTTTCTCTCTCCCTCTCAATGACTCTTTCTTTAAAGTCAATAAAAACATATCCTCAGATAAGAATTTTAAAATAATTAACCATAAAAAAACACTTTCAGATGGCACACCATTTTCCTAGTCCAACAAATATCAACAAGAAAACTGTATTTTTTGCTGATAATTTCAGCATATAGGTGGACTTTTCAAGTAACAATCTAAATGACACCAATGGTCAGCTAGCTGTACCCACTTGAAATCAATCTCTGCACCTCGGTTTTTGTCCCTGAAAAATAAAGGCAAAATAGATGCACAAGTCCTTTCCTTCTAGCCCTCAAATGCAAAGATAGTCTCTAGAGCTCTATCTAAAGCACAGAACCTCCAGAGAGGTTCTCAAACTTTCTAGGTTCATGGTACCCTCAGTATTTTAGTAATGTTTTCTTTCATAGCAACCCTAGACCAAGAAATAACAATTCCACTTATGAAGCTGTTAGTAGCCACTTGAAAAACAAATCTATCTCAGCTGAAAAGAACATTCATTCTTAAATAACCACAATTACTACTTATAGAATGTGTATTACAGTTGGGCACTACACAAACTTCTCAAACCCTGGAATTTGATTGGACACTGCTTATTTCCTGTTCCACAATAACTTTCATACAGTATTTGTGTTTTATCATAGAAACCCTCAAAACTCACAAAAATGTCACTGGAAGGAACGTAGCACAATCTAATTTTGAAACTATGAACTCTCTCAAGCTAGTAGTTCACCTGGCAACCAGCAGATGTCAAATATTGCTCTATCTCCCTCGAAGATTTAAACTAACCTCTGAGAATTAGTGGCAATACCGTGTGGTGCCTTGGTGAAGTCTGGGAGACATGGTCCTATAGCATGTATTATGGGAGTCTGGGAGACATGGTCCTATAGCAAAACTATTACATAATTTTGTGGCTGGAAATCAGATTCTACCAGTAACTACATAATATGGGCATTAGCAGCTGAATCAATCTCTTGAACCTTAGCTTCTATGCCTGCCACGTAAGAATAATGGAGCAACCCCAGGTAATAGTTGTAAGGAATGATGAGATGTCTGCACAGAGTAAATGCTCAATAAATGGCAGCTATTATAATATCATTAAAACTTAACAAGTATTTTGTAAAACCAAATTTAATCGACTCTGTGGGGATGAAAGAAACATTCTAAGCTGAAACCACGTCAAATTAAAACATAAAAAAATATTCAGGGGAAAGATCTTGAAGTGCTTAAATAGGGGCAACACAATGAGCTACAGTCTCCTCTAAAGGATGTCGTAACAGTGACACATTTATCACAATAAATGACTAGGTAAAAAGTACTCAGCTGGCAACCCAGAAGAATATGTATGTTAAAAATCACCTTTCAAGGTACAACCACACTAGGAAGGAAAGAAAACTTTTATAAACTAGGCCTCTTTAAATAGCATTAAAAACTGTCTTTAAAAATACTTAAACTTATATAGAGCAAAACTCACTTGATAATAACAAAAACTTTTCAAGAGCATAATAGCTCAATATAGCTGCTCAAACCCTTCTCACATGCTAAAAATTTATCATTTCAATTCTAAACACACTCTTGTGTCTTCCCACAAACTTCTGTAATAAAATTTGTAACACAAGAGTATATGTAGGTACTGGGTTTATGAAAGGATTTTTGAAACACTTCATTTGATCCTGATATTATCTCAATTTACCAAAGAAACTGAGATCCGAAGTAATTAAGTAATTTGCACTACAACTTATATAATACAGAGCTCAACACTAAAACCCATATATTTCAACTCTTCCTAGCACACCACAACTCCTTCCCAAAAGACTCAGTTCAAATCTTGTTAGTTGGACCAGTATTATTTTATCAGCTATTTCAAATAGCTTAACCATCATCAAAGGCCTGAAAGGCTTTTTGCCCTGCACAGTAACAGTATTTCACCTGCAGACTTTTCATTTGCCACGTATCCTGTACTGTGTAATATTAACAATTATTCTTGGGCCCTGGCTGGAGTAGCTCAGGGTCACCAGAGTAGCTTGAGTGTGGGCTGCAAACTAAAGGGTCACCAGTTCCATTCCCAGTCAGGGCACATGCCTGGGTTGCAGGCCAGGTTCCCCGTGGGGGCCACATGAGAGGCAACTACACAATATTTCCCTCCTGTCCCCTCTCTAAAAATAAATAAATAAAGTCTTTAAAAATAATGATAGTTATTATTCTTGGGTCACCTTATGACAAAATCTATTATAGATGTAGCTATAACAATGATAATGCAGTGGCTGAGCCCACTTGTATTTCAGCCCATATTATTTCCCATGTTTTACTTAGTTGGTAACACATTATTCAATTCTAGATAGAGATATAACATGAAGTATTAAATTGACTCTGGTATCTTTTCTTCTGTTATTAATATAAGAAAAATGCAGTGGTCAAAATACTTAACAGGAATGGAGAGGCAAGCAATCTTGTATACCATCCAAAATACCATAGCATCACAGAAGTCTATACTTACCATTCAATTTGGTCCAAGTAAATTCCAAAAATAACTTACTTATCATCCTTTCCCCCAAATTCCCACATTCCTCTCTAATAAGATTATTATGATTTTCCAAGATATCCTAAAAGCAACTCACTATAAGGCATTTGACTTCACAATGACTATTTCCTTAAAAATTGAATGTAACTATAATTTGATAATAAAAATTACTATATTGGGGAACTTAATTTTTTAAGAACTTCTGCAGAAAGTCTTTATATAATGTCTATATAATATACTAATCATCCTTGTATTTTACATTATATAAAAAATTAGCCTTTTATGTGCCAGTTTGTTAAGGGTAGAGATTTGGGCAGGTAAAAAAAGATAAAGGTGGCACCATAACTATTCCATTAATTTGGGTCTTAGTAACCATAACATCATTTTCTCTATAGGTAATATTTTAAGAATGTGTCACTTAGGCCCTTCCTAGCAATGTAAATACATAGTTAAGAGAAACTTCATTTCCATGGAGAATTGAAGAGTGAAAAGAAACAGCTGTCTTGTATAGTACCCAGTCCACTTTGGCCATCGAATTCGAACAAAAAAAAAAAAGAAGAAAGACCTATTTGGAAAACGTTTCTTCTCCAGCCAAGGGCTGTTCCCAGATAAAGGCAATGATCAGAGTTCAGCAAAAAACCCTTCTCTAAGGGCAAAAATGTGCCAGAAAAAGAAAGGCATGGATGGGAAATAAATAGGGAGTGAGTGTCTGCGCTCAGTGTGAGTGCTGGAGGCAGCAGGCGCAGCGCTGAGATGCTCCAGCGAAAAGAACCAGCAGCAGCAGGAAGTTTCAATGGGGCCGGGTAGAGCATGCGCCCTGCACCCGCGCGGTGGCCTTATGTGGAAGGAGCACCACTTGCGAACACCAATAATAGACCAGCGGCACCAGAGAGAAACATGAGCAACAAGCACCTCTTCAACTGTTTCCCCCTCCGTCTGAGCCCCTCCTCCAGCCTACATACTAACCACCCCACCCCACCCCACCCTGCAAATGGGAGGGCGACTTCTTCTTCCCCCTAAGCCTTGCTGCCAAGATGAAGGGGGAAGGGACTGAAAAAGTGGGGAGATGCTTTTCTATGCGGGGGTGTGGTGGGGGAGAGGGAGAGGAAAACTATGGGGGAGGAGAAATTAACCCTCTACGATCCAAAGTGGAGGTGAACCGACTTAGTCCCCCAAACCGAGAATGGAGAAGGACCCCTCCTCCCACGGGGGAGGAGCAAGTCTCCGTAGTCGGAGGAAGGAGTATTGGGGGTTAAACTGGCCCCCCAGGAGAAACGAAGAGGGGCGAGAGCCGACACTCTCGGGGGAGTTTCCACTAGAGGGAGGGAGAGCTTAAGTGTCCGCTGGCCCCCGCCCACCCAGGTGGAGAGAAAGGGGACGCCCCAAGAAGATGAGCCCAGCCTCCCCCGAGATGGTCGAGAGGATGGTGGGAGGAGGGGAGGGATAGCAAGCGAAGGGAAAGGAGGAGAACAGCGCAAAGCTGGCCGGAACCTGCTCTCCCCTTCCCCCTCCACCGAGAGGGATACAGGGTGGAGAACCAGCCCCTGCGGCGGGGTAGCAGCCCCAGGGGCAGCGGATCCGCACAATGACCTCTCCCCACCCCCAAGCCCACACCTAGCCCGCGACGCCCCCACCTCAGCTCAGCGCCTGGCCGAGTGGCCCTAGGGGGCCTCCGCCCCGCCTCCCCACTGCCCAAGACCCGAGGATACAGGGCAGAGTAGACTGACCGGGCGCAGATGTACCCCAAGGGGGAGAAAGAACCTCGGAGGCCCCAAGAGTCCATGAAGAGGTGAAAGAAGAAGCATGCAAGGGCCGCTTCCCGCCGGGCGTTCGGGCCCCTCGCATACCTTCTCCGTTGCCGACGTCCCGCGGCGGCGCCTGCAGCACCCGCTCCAGCTCAGGGAACGGCAGCTCAGGCAGATCGAGCAGCGGCCCGTAGCGCTCTAAGAAGGAGCATACTACAGCGAAGTTGGGGCACGAACCAGGGCAGCCCTGAGGAGCCATCGCCGCTGCCGCTGCCGCCGCCGCCGCCATTTTGAACTGGAGGATGGAGGAGGAGGCGATTCGGGGATGGGGGGGGAGCAGGGGTGCCGAGAAATGGCAAGGTAGCTTTGCAGACGACAGGAGGCGCTAGCTATTGGACTCCCCTGCCAGATCCGAGCTTCTCGGGCACGGCGCCGCAATCCCACAATACAACGGCGGCCGGGAGCAGTCGAGAACCGAGTAGAAGGGGGAAAGAGAGACGCTCTGTGCCTTTCACTTTCCTCCCTCTTCCCGCCCCCTTCCCTCCCAGTATTTAGCCCCTCCCACTTTGCGTTCGCCAGAGCCTCGTGTGACATAAGGAATGAAAACAAGGAAAGCCGGGCTGGGAGGCGAGCTGGAAGTTGGGGGTGGGACTTTTGAGGAACGGTGACCAATAAACTCTGAGAGGGCGGGGCTTCGGGCGATGACAGTGGAAAGGCTTATTCTGGGTGGGGCGAATGCGGGGGGAGCACCTAAGCCAGTGGGCCAGATCCAGCTGAGGTGAGAAGTAAAACACGGAGCGGTTTGGGATCGCAACTCCGTGTGGAGAGTGCTTTGGGTGAGTTTGGTGGGGACTCCGAGAACTGAAACAGGGCCGTGAGGTGGTGAGGGAAGTTAAGGAGGGTGAATCAGAAGCAGGAAAAAAAGAGAATTGGAGGGAGTTGAAAAAGCATGATTGTGGGAGCAGGTTGGAAAGGGGAAAGGTAGAGCGGTGCCCTTAATTAGGGATTGGGATGGCACCTGTCTGTGTAAGAAGTCTGCGGGAGCTTGCCTCCTGCTGGGGTGCAAAAGTCGCAGCTTTGCTTTCGGGAAAATAGAGTCTGAGGGCTCGAGGGGACGAGAGCCTGAAGGAACAAGGGCTCTGCGGGGATCACCGGTCAGAGAGGTTAGGGCCCTGCCAGGAGTCCGAAGGGACCAGCCTCTGCTGAGGACTACGGTGTGAGAGGACTGGTTTCTGCTGTGGTTGCCAGGGTGGAAGGGAGAGGGGACCTGTTGAGGCACCAGATCTGAGGGGATGGGTTCTACGGGGGACCAGGGTCGGAGGGTGGGCTATGACTCAGTCACTAAGAGGGCAGGGCTTGATAGATTTGGTGGAAGAGCAAAAAGTTTGATAGAGAACAGGGTTCCACTTCGTTGGGGGGCAGCAATGAGCGTTCTCCCACACAGAATCTCTGAAAACCATCAATAATGCAAAATGGAATGAACTGCTTGAGATGCAGTGTGCCTTATGGTTAGGAGCCTAAGCTTTAGATTCAGCCAGACCTGAATCCTAACAGAACCACTTCATAACATTGTGGAGTATTCATTTCTTTGAACCGCGGTAAAGTGAGGGTGATAACAGTACCTGCATATTGGGAACATAAAAAAAGCTTACCACGATCGAACATTGAATTTTGTTCTGCATTTCTAGGTAAAAAAATGGAAAGCCATAATGGTCTATATCATTCTCATTAAGAAAGAATATTCATTTATCAAGAGAAAAATTTTATTAGCCCTGGCTGGCATAGCTCAGTGGATTGAGCGTGGGCTGCGAACCAAAGTGTCGCAGGTTCGATTCCCAGCCAGGGTACATGCCTAGGTTGCAGGCTATAACCCCTAGCGACCGCACATTGATGTTTCTCTCTCTCTCTCTATCTCCCTCCCTTCTCACTCTAAAAATAAATAAAATCTTTAAAAAAGAGAGAGAAATTTTATTGTAAGAGGGATTTATTACCTAGAAAACTGAGTCTTAATATACAAACCCTTTCTAAAAGGGAGGGGGTAGTTCTTTTGAAACATATCAAATGCTTTTGAAAATTTCAGTTAAATACTGATGTAAGAAATTAAAACATATACAACAATCTAAATGTACTTCATGCCATTGAATTATACACTTTAAAATAGTTAAAATGGTAAATTTCATGTTACTTGTATATCCCAAGACCTAGGAATCTGAAGCCCAGTTTTAGAAAAAGCTGACTCAGGCCCTGGCTGGGTAGTCCAATTGGTTAGAGCATTGTCCCAATACCTAAGGTTGTGGTTTCCATCCTAGGTTAGGGCACATATAAGAATCAACCAATGAATGTATAAAGAAGTGAACAAAGTCAATGTTTCTTTCTCTCTCTCTCTTTCTTAAATCAATTTTAAAAAGCTGAACCATTTAAAAAATTTTAATTTATTGACTTTTAGGGAGAGAGAAGGGACAGAGAAACACCAATTTGTTGTTCCACTTATTTATGCATTCATTGGTTGATTCTTTTTTTTTTAAGATTTTATTTATTTATTTTTGAGAGAGGGGGAGGGCAGGAGAAAGAGAGGGAGAGAAATATCAATGTGTGGTTGCCTCTTGGGTGGCTCCTACTAGGAATCTGGCCCACAATCCAGGAATGTGACCTGATTGGGAATTGAACTGGTGACCCTTTGGTTCGCAGGCCCGAACTCATTCCACTGAGCTACACCAGCCAGGGCTTGGTTAATTCTTGTATGTGCCCCAAACTGTGGTGAACCCGCAACCTTGGCATATTGGGATGCCACCAACTTAGATACCCAGCCAAGGCCCAGAACACATTTTTAACAATTTGGTGCAAGACACAAAACAAATCCTTCATAAAATTGTTACCTAATTGACCTTAAATAAAACATAGGTACACAATATTAAGTCATATCTTTGCTAAGAAATTTTGATGGAAAAACTCTTCAAAGGAAAGACTTAATTATTTTATTATATGAACCTTACTCTCTGTCCCCTTCCTTTCTATTTCCTTGCTTTCAGCTTCTCCAGTACCTCACCTACTCATCCATGGGGTTGCAAAATAACATTCTTTAAAAAGCAAAGAAACAGAAGCTTTATACTATAGTTTTCTCGGTGATCACAGTGTTATTCCAAGGGGACTGATAAACAAGGTTAGAGTTTCTGTCTTTGTTAATCCTGATTGGCATGGGAACAAAGTCCTTGGGCATCAAAAAGTTGTATCTACCTAAAAGGTAAGAGATGTTTTACTAAAAAGCAAGGTTTAGATCCTATCTTTACTAAGTCTTTTCTTGAAAAGAAATTAAATGACACATGACCAAAATAACATCATCTCTTCTGGCATGGAAGAAATGAAACAATTTCTATCATAAATAGCATGATCATAATATTTAGAAAATCCTAACGAATCCACCAAAAAAGTATTAAAACTAATAAACGAGTAGGCAAGTTTGCAGGATACAAGATTAATGCTCAAAAATCAAGTGTATTTTTGTACACTAGCAATAAGTCCAAAATAAAATAATTTTATTTACAATAGCATCAAAAAGAACAAAGTATTTAGGAATAATTTTTTTAAATATAAGACTTGACAATTTTACAATATTGTTAAAGGAAATTAAAGAAGTCTTAATGGGAAGACATCCCATATTCATGGTTTGGATGACTTCCTTTTGAAAAAAAGGGCAATATTTCTGAAATTGATCTGCAGATTTAGTGCAATCCCCTGCAGAACTGCAGTTGGCTTTTTGTAGAAATTAACAAATTAATCCTAATATTAATATGGAAATTCAAGGGACCCAGATTATCCTAGACAGTGCTTTTAAAAACAAACTTGCCCTGGACAGTGTGGCTTGCTTAGTTGGAGCGTCGTCCCATAAACTGAAAGGTCATTCATTCAATTCCCAGTAAAGACACTTGCCTGGGTTGCAAGTACGGTCCTGGTGGGAGCGCGTAGGAGAGGCACCAGATCAGTGTTCTGATCAATGTTTCTCTCTCACATGGATATTTCTCTCCCTCTCCACCTTTCTTTGCCCCTCTCTAAAATCTATAAACATGTTCTTAGGTGAAGATAAAATTCAAAATAAAATACAAAGTTGAAGGTCTTACACTTCCTGGTTTTATTTATTTTTCTAAAGATTTTATTTATTTATTTATAGACAGAGGAGAAGGGAGGGAGAAAGAGAGGGAAACATCAATGCAGGGTTGCCTCTCACATGCCCCTTACTGGGGACCTGGCCCACAACCCAGGCATGTGCCCTGGCTGGAAATCAAACCAGTGACCCTTTGGTTCGAAGGCTGGCACTCAGTCCACTGAGCCACACCAGCCAGGGCCACTTCCTGGTTTTGAAAGTAGTACAAAGCTACATTAATCAAGACTATACACTACTGCCATAACATAGCTGCCATGGACTGAAGTGTGTCTCTCCAAAGTTCATGAGTTGAAGCGCCAAACCCAATATGTCTATATTTGAAGACAGGACCTTTAAGGAGAAATGGAGGTAGTGAGGTTAAGTGAGGCCATGAGCTCCTAATTCTATAGGACTGGTATCCTTTAAGAAAAGGAAAACACACCAAGAGTACTCATGCACATACTTTTGCACAGAAAAAAAGGTTATGGAGGAGAAAGCAAAAAGAAATCCATCTGCAATCCAAGAAGGGAGGTCTCACCAGACCCAACCCTGCTGGCACTTTGATCTCGGACTTCAGCCTCCAGACTGTGAGAAGATAAATTTCTGTTTAAGCCACCCAGTCTATGGTATTTTGTTATAGGAGTTCTAGGAGACTATATAGAAGTCTTTCTCAACATTCATAAGAATTCATTATATTTTCTTTATACCACTTTTCAAAAGTTACCTTGTATTTAAAAAGTTACCTTTTAAAAATTACATTATAGTTATTTGGACATGTTTTCTCTCCTCTAGTGTGACATCAGCTCCTCAAGAATAGGAATCGTGTCCTATAAATTTGTATCTTCCTCCCACAGCACCTAAAACAGTGTGTTTATGTTCTTTGTTATATATATACTTTAAAAATGGATATTTAGGAAATGAAGCTATGGAAATGTATTAGTAGTTACTAATGTTAGGCAGCAGTATTACTTTGTTATTGTCTTTATTTAGAGATTAAATATGGTTTAGAGAAACGTTTATAAGTGTCAAATTGACAAGGGGTGGACTGTGATTGTCAGTTTTATGTGTCAAGTTGGCTGAGTTACAGTACGCAGCTATTCGAACGCTAATCCAGGTGTTGCTATGAAAGTGTTGTACAGATGCAGTTAACATCTACAATCCGCTGACTTTTTTTTATCCTCACTCAAGGACATGCTTATTGATTTTTAGAGAGAAGGGAAGGGAGGGAGATAGAGAAAGAAAGAAACAGACATCTACATGTGAGAGAAGTATCAGTTGGTTGCCTCTTGTACAGGCGCCCCAACCAGGGAAACAAACCCACAGCCGAGGCTTGTGCTCTGACCAGGACTCTCACCCAGACCTTTCAGTTTACAGAGCAGTGCTCCACCAACTGCGCACCGCTGGCCAGGGCCAGTTGACTTTTAAATAAAGATTATTCTTGCTATTCTTGGTAGGCCTCACCCAATCAGTTAAGGCCTTAAAAGAAATATTGAGGATTTTTTTTGAGGAAGAAAATGTAACATCAATACTGCAATGGTGACTTCTGCCCAAGATTTAGCAGGCCTACTGGTCTGCCCTACACATTTTGGACAGGTCAGCTCACATAACTGCATGAGCCACTGCCTTGAACTAAATCTCTCTTTTTAAAATATTTTGTTGATTGTGCTATAACAGATATCCCAAATTTTCCTCCTTTGA